AAACACATAGAGGTCATTGAGAAAGCTTGTTCACAGTTTTCTCAAGACAACCTTTATGTTGCCATACAAGTAGAGGAGGAGGAAGAAGAAGGCAATCATGAGGATGTTGAGGAGCATACAGAAGTTGTCACGGAAAACTCCCATGATAATCATGATCAAGTGTATCCTCTGGTGGTAGATCACAACTTTGCCCATATCTGCTCTTACATGCTGGGCCCGAGTGAGGAGATGCAAGCTGAACTTATTGATAACCTTGCATGGCGACTTGCTCTCCAATCCGTTATGGAATAAGAAGAGAGAGAAAGGGTGAGGAAAGAAGTTGTGGAGGAAAAGGAAGAAAGCAAAGAAGAGGTAGTTCTTGATCTTTTCCAAGGAGAGAGACCAAATTTTGAAGAAGGAAGGGGGGTTGAAGAAACGAGTGGTGTCAAGGTTGAGGATGAAGCTGAGGTGGAAGAGGCTTGCACCGACCATGAGTTACATGTGATATCTCCACAAAACTTCGAGGAGCTGCTTGGCAAGGACCCATTTGCAGTGTCTCTTTGCCAGACCAAGGCCACATCGACATTGGTCCCTCTTGGTGGACGCGATGGTGGTCAGTCGATGCTATCATATCTGGTTTGGGGCAATGAGACGAGTGAGGAAGAAAAGAAGAGGTCTCGCGGGTGGATACTTGATGACTCGATATTTGCACATGTTTTCCCTTTTGTTTCTTGATCGTTTAAGCTTGCATTATTGCTTCTTTGGCCTATTTTACGCTAGGTTGTGTTCCTTTGTCACATTTCAGGTCCTAGCACATAAAGTGAAGCGAAGGCGCAAGTTTCAAGTCAATCGGAGATCAATTAGCGACTCGGGGGAAGAAACTCGGGTATGGCTTGAATAAGAATGGATTTATACCTCATTTTTTGACCATATAATCATGTAATCTTGTCATGAGAAGAATGAGGACGAGACTACGAGCGTCTGGGATCAAACGACACCTGATTTGGAGTCCGAACGAGGGAGAAACGAAGAATCAAAGATAGGGGACCCGGAACAGCAAAATACCCGGCCATGGGCAAAAATACCCGACCGGGTATTATTTGGAGCAGACCGGGGAAAATTGGTTTTAGGCTTCTCTGAGAAACAGAAGGGGGGCCTATCGTGACGCTAAAATCCCCGGTAGGGGATTTTTGGCCTTGACAGGGGATTTTCCCCTGTCTCCAGACGTTGCGTTTTGAAAATCCCAGGCCTTGACCTAAAATACCCGACAGGGGATCGCGAACGCAGGCTGTTAAAATCCTGTTTTGTGCGTTTTTGCAAGGGGGACCTGGGTTTTGGATCCCAAACACCCATGGGACGAACCAAAGAGAGAGAGGGCGATTTGAGGGTATTCTTGGAGTGGAATTGGAGGATTTCTTCGTCTTGGAAGCTCGAGGAACAGGCCCGGACTTGAAGACTGATCATCTGAAGATTCTTATTGCAGTCTCTCTCTTCTCTATGGAGTAACTTCCCTTCAATTAGGTTTTGAGGAACCCTAGCTATGTTTGTTTGATTGGATGATTGTATGAGTACTCTGACTTGATAACCTTGAGTTTATATTCAATCTATGCATGTTTTCATGATTCAATTCTGCTTTAGTCGAGATTATTGATTCTGCTTTGATCCTATGAGAGCGAATACCTAATTAGGTCAATAGAGCACCATAGATTGATAGTAGTGGATCGATTGCTTTAGTCGAGGGTTGACTCACTACTTTGTATCGATTGAGAACCACTTTTGGTAGAGGGAGTCTAGTTCAGAACGCCTTGATCGGTTGTTCTAGATAAGGATACGTCCCTCTAGGCAATTGACTCAAGAGGGCCTTGTTCCTTTAGTCGAGACTCAAGGTCTAGTCAAGGATTCTCCGCATTGTGAACGAAAGTGAAACAAGTTAGAAATCATCAATCGTTAATCTGGCTAGTGGCTAGGGGGAATCATACCTAAGTGAGTTCCCAACCTGTAATTAGATTAACTTTAACTGTAGTTTGCTAGAGTAGTTTTAGTTGTTTTATCTTAATCTGGTTTGCTAGATAATGAACTGAAGCTGAGTAATAGTAACTCTAGAGACCCGTGGATTCGATATTTATTACTTGAGCCACTATACTGCAGTCCCTTTCATTGGTTGCACTTGGCCTTTGTTAGGAGTTGTGTCGTAGCGAGTCAATACTTCATATTAATCAAGTACACGAGCCTACATCACTTGTCATACCACCTGCTTGTGACTTGAGACTCCACATCATCGACGAGAACCTCAACTTCAAGGAGGTTCTAGCATGGACCAAAACTTAGGAGCCACCGTCCGGCTCACAACGGTAAAGATGCGCTTGTGGGGAGGCAACCCCACCAAGGTTTGTTTTTATTTTGGTTGTTTTCGGTTTCCACTTGGAACTTTGGTTTCTATCACCCAGTGTGTTTTGATGACTTTAGCTCTGTGCCCTTGGACTGGTCCCCTTCCAGTCCCCTGCCCTTAACTGGTCTGCCTTCCAGTGTCGTTCCTGATCTTCATTTCACGGTAACTTCGTTCCCCTTCCCTCTGCTCCATTGAGGACATTGACGCATTTAAGTGTGTGTGTGTGTGGGGGGGGGGGGGGTGCTTTGTCTTTATTGGAACGTATTTGTGTGTGCTTGGGGCCTAGTCCGCTGTCCAAATCTTAATATTTGAGGGCTCCAAGTAGTGATGTATGCATGATCATACTGGCATTGTGGTTTAATTGGTGAATCGAATGGCTGTTACAATTGATGCATGACAACTGGGATTGTGACTAGGACAACCTATAATGATGACTGAGACGTGGATTAGAGTTGTGTAGGGGTTCAGTTTTTTTTTCCCAACTGTTTGCTTACCAACCGCGACTTGGATTGATAACTTGTTCTTGATAGTCGTTTATGCATCTAGTTCAGGGAATCAGAATGAGAGATAGAGCATATAGGTAGCCATGTGAGATTTGAGCCTGCTCGTTTCTTTCATGTGCGATAGATCCCTCTTCCATGATGTGTAGCATTCACGTTGTCATTAGCTAAGATGATGGAGGCATAGGAATAGCCCACGACCAAATTGACTGTCATAGTGTGTCATACCCCCTAGTCAGCCCCTTTGAGCCGTGTCACTTTCTTTCTTTCGGTCTGCAATGAAAAATCACCCTTTTTGCATCTCTTAGAGGTTCCACAGAGTGGTTTTTGCCATTGGAGCTCGGGAATCAAGCTTGGAGATGGAGATTGAAGATCTAGATCAGATTTCTGCAGTTTCTCTCTTCTCTATGGAGTAACTTCCCTTCACTTAGGTTTTGAGGAACCCTAGTTCCATGTGTTAGGATCTTTCTTGTATGAAGTTTTGGATGCTATATTGTTTCATTATAATCGATTGAGGCATGATTTATTGAGTCAATTGAAGCCTGATCATCTTCTCTTGATTTCTGCTTTAACCTATGATAGATAGAATCTGATTAGGTTAAGAGAGCTTCCTTGATTGATAGTGGTGAATTGGTTGTGCGAGAGTCAATCAATTCACTACTTTGTAGTGGAATTCATCCCAGTAGTGGAGATATGTGTGAATCGCCTTAGCAGTCTGTCTCGGTGAAGGCTAGTCGCCTACCGGGTATTCTGTCTAAGCGGGCTTGGTCATCTTAAGTGATTCCAAGCTAATTTAGGATATTCCGCAGTTTAATCAACAGTAGATCAACCAAAAGTAATTGCAATTTAGACCTAATTGAGGAGCTAGGGGGAATCATACCTAAGTGAGTTTTCAACTTGTAATTAGTAGAGTAGTTAGTAGAGTAGTTTAGTAAATCAATCATTAATCTAGTTTGCTAGATAATGAACTGAAGCTGAGTAATAGTAACTCTAGAGACCTGTGGATACGATATTTATTACTTGTGCCACTATACTGCAGTCCCTTTCATTGGTTACACTTGGCCATTATTAGGTGTTGTGTTTTAGCGAGTCAAGTACCCTGGACGTCCTCCTGCCAAATATAATTCACCATTGCCCTCACTTCAGGATTATCCGCCCAGCGAACATCGAATCGAAAAAGAGGGCTACTATTCCGGACGTAGAGCTTATCAGAGAGGAGGAAAGCCCGATGATCTGATCCCGAATCCGTAAAGTGTTTGACCAGGGTATCAGGGAATTGATCATTCTAGGTTTGGGAGCACAAAGCCTTGTCTAGCCTCTCCCGAATACAAGCTACCCCCATTCGTTTGTTCGTCCAGGTGAATTGATCCCCTTGGTATCCAGGATCATGGAGTCCCTGGTCCTGAATAAAATCACGCTGGCTAAGAGATTGAGCAACATTCCACAAATTTCCCCCATCTTTTTCACTCTCATGCAGAGTAGTGTTAAAATCTCCTATAACAACATATTGAATTTGGATGCCATCACAGACTTCCTGAAGCTGGGCCAGTTGGGTGGCGCTTATTGCGACATTACAACTAATGTAAACACAAATCACAATGTACGAAAAATCAACTTCATTAATTTGGGCACAAATACAGAAGTCGGAATAAAAAAACACCGAAGCATCAACTCTGGGGGATCAAGCTACCACTAAACCACCAGATGCGTCAATCGCATCCACAAAAAATAGTGAGAAATAGAAAACTCTAAACCCCGCATACGGCAGGAGACAACTCTCCGGCTCGATCGTGTTTCGAAAAAAAAAAACACAATCCGATATATTAGAATGAACTAAACCAAAAACAGTTTGGAATCTGAGTGATGGTCCAATTCCCCTCACATTCCATACTTAAAGCCTCATTTATCCGGTTGGGGCCACTCACGGCTGGCTTCCTCCACCTTTTCATCATTCACCAGATCTTCCACAAATTGCTTTTTGGGTGTGGGAGAGTCTCCCATATCACCCTCTGTTGCTTCCAGAGGTCTCTTCCGACTCCCAATAACCGGATCCAAAAGGTTCGATCCATATTCATACACAGTGGTACTCAACATCCCTTCCTCTCCTTGGGGCCACTCAACCTTCTCCTTCACAGCTTGGCCATTGTCATCGTCACCAATGACTAGGCCAGTTTCAAAGGCAGAGACAACTTTGTGGACATGGCCTCTCGTGGCACGCCGAGAGTTTGGGGCTCATTTCCGCAACTCAAACCGGCGGCCTTATCCTCCGAAAGAGAGGTTTGAGAACCTGAACTATCTTATCCATCTTCTGTTGCAATCTCACCCAATCTCGCAGCAGCTTCTTCATAAATCACACCAACGGGGGCTGTCTCCTTCTTTATCTTCAAGTTTCCTCCCAAACTTACCTCTTGTGCCGAGAGGGAGGCTTTCTTACCTCTTCCTTTGGCACCCTTACTCTTCGAATGAGCTGTACCCCCTTTCTTCTTTGAGCAACAACCACCTTGGGTTGGGCCAGGAGGCGGGCAGCGCCATCACCAGTCCCTTCTCCACTCCCCACATGAGCCTCACGTCGAAGCATGGGAGAGGTCGCAGCAGCCCGGTCTTCAGCGAGCTCCTACTCAGTACCATGGAACACAAAATCATCATCAGAATCTTCTTCAAGAATCATACGCCGGCTTCGAGCAGCTTCATGAGGGCCATGCATGGCCACCGGGGAGGCAGGATCTTCTTATGGCAGTGGGGAGAACTCAGAAGCAACGTCATGTTGAGTCCCAGTTCTAGAGTGACGCAGCACCCGACGGTCTCCAGGAAGCGAATCCTCTTTTGGCAGCTGACGATCACCATAACCATGCATCACCCGACGTGCTCCAGCCTCCATGCCCAGCATGGAGTCTCGGGGACTTTGAAACATTGAACACCAGGGGGCTACCTCGACGGGGCATTGAGTTGGAGCTACCCGTCCTCTGGTTCGTTCTCCCCACGCCATGCAACCTAGGAGATGGGTTCTCCCTCTGCATGGGTTGGTGTCTCGCACACTCCACGTGCTCCCAAGCAAGAGCATGTCCATGTTCGGGTCTCCCAGAGCCGGTTTGATAATCATGAATCGCCCTGTTCACCCACACCATATTGCGCATCTCTACAAAAGGTCGGTTGGTATCATCTTCCTCATAAATTTGATGACCTAGCTTTTTCGTGGTCATATGCGGACCAAAATTTTCCTTCCGAGTGGGGGGGGGGGGGGACGGGGTGGATCACCCGAGCAGTCTCTCTGAATATGACCCACACGTCCACAATGGAAGCAGAGGCTAGGTAAGAACTCGTATCTAAGATTGACCAAAAAACAACCAATCTCTTCACTTGCCGCAAACAGTTGCGATCGCAATGGCTAAGTGAAATCCACTAGAGCTCTGATTTTCACGAAATATTCCCTAGTCTGGCAGTCTCCTTGCAGACAAAACACACCCGTTTCTAGGACTTGTCCAATAGTAGGAGTGGCAAGTTTCTTACCAAACTACTTGGTACAACAAGCTTCGCGTACTCCCCAGATCGAGTTGGATACGAAATGGGGCAATTGCCAGGTCATCAAATGTTGCCTTTGTGATAGTCGGTGTCCAAGATCGCAGGTTTACGATTCTATCATTGAGGACCCACGGGCTACGTTTCAGGACCTAGGTTTTGGACTCTTCACTTGGGAGCACAAATTCTAACAGGCCATGCTTAGTCATAGAGACCCGAATCTGGCCTCTTCCTTGCCATTGAGTGTTGGCAGCATCTCGCAGCTCCATGATTGTCATTGTTCTATCAGTGAATACCCTTGCAAGCAACGAGCGCGAAGTATGGAACCTCGCAGACTGAACCTCTTCCAGGAAAAACTGGCAAACTTGATCATCCGTGTCATGAGTCATTGTTGGCACTTGAAAACAAATGGTAAGAGTGGGACGATGTTAGTTTCATCGCAGGCCATCGAACCCATCTTTAGCAGCCGAGTAACAGACATGGGAAGGGGCATCAGATGACAAGAAAATAACGAGATGGGATCAGCGGAAAATACTCCTCCTGGCGGCCCTATACATGGGGACTTGACGACGACACGCTTCTATGGGAGGGAGGGATATTTGGTGGTCTCCAAGAGCAGGTTACTTCTACGAAAGGGAAGTAGAGCCTGTTTGCATAATCTATATTTATAGTAGAATTATATTAAGACTAGGAAGTTTGATATGAAACTTGGTTAGGCGGATACTATTAGGAACATAACCATCCCTCCTCCTTGAAATCTTGGACAATCTTTTTGGGAAAATATTTTGTTTAACCGCCCAATCTTTTCCTTGCCGTCGTGTCCCGGATTTGTTACTGGCGGGAGAGTCGTTGCAAGATATCGGTTCACTCCCTAACGGACGAGCCACAACCAGCCAAGTAATCATCAACAGCAGATTGCTCCGATCCTAAGCTATGAGGGGCATCTCCGGCCAAACCACAGTCGTGTTCTGAGTCGGCATGAATCCCTGGACGCTACAGAAAGCTCCAGCGGTAGGATTACTATTTGACGGGGAGTCTATCAGCTCCAGTTCCATCGATGACAATAGGCTAAATCGCCACCCCATCTTTTGGTGTATCTTTGGTTTTTTGATTCGTGTATGCATCTCAATATCACAGTCATTGACTTTACATTTTCTACATCCAGCAATGTATCTACGTTTTATCGCACGCGGGACACGCTTGACTTCACGGTCCATGTTCGTGGATATCTGAGGAATAAACCACCTCAAATCTGGGGCCATCACAGCTTCCGAGACAATCGATTCCTATAGCAGTGCACATCGCCTTTTTGATACGCCAAACTAGTATGGAGAATGGTCGCAATCAGTCCGACGAGAAGGCTGTCAATTTCGAGGCAAAACTTGAAGAGAGAGGACAGAGCATCTCTCATTTTTTTTTCCCTCTGAAAATACATATGCAATACTTCCGAAATGTATTCCCCGAGAATTGTCTTTTGCCTCAAAGGAACAATGTGAGAAATTAGTATTGGCTAATTTATTCGCCAGATAACTTTTACAAAATCAACTTACAAAATCAATTTTTGGTGTGTGGGAGCTTTTAGAGAACTATTTCGAGAAATGGCAATTAAATGTTTGGTTGTTAAACTATTAAAAGTACTTTTGAACGTGATGTAAAAATGTCTTACAAATGATTTTATTATAAAATATGATAAGAAAATAATAAATAGTAAAAATAAGTCTTGTTTGAAAAACAACAATCTGCTATGTAGCAAGCTACACTACGGCTGATGTGTTATTGTACTGTTGCTTAAAAACTCTGTTAGTACCAGCCAACTTTTATTGCAACCAAATATAAATAAGGTGTGCAAAAACATCGCTATATTGAGAAATACCTGTGAAGTATTGTTATTTTAAGATTTTTCTTTTCAGTAACGTTTAATTTTTGAAAAACAAATTCGTATATTAGTGATATATGGCTTTTGGGTGATGGAATCCCATGTTCATGGGCCAATGTCTAGATTCTAGTATGTGAATGGTGTCAGTTTCTTGTGAAAGTTACTTAAGGCATCTTTCATTTTGTGTGAGAGGTAGCACGACAATAAAGAAGGGAAATTGTACAATAAAGGAAGAGGGAAATGAATGATTGAGAATGAATGGCGTGATGGATAGGAATGATGCAAAAATAAATTTGGCATTTTGGGGTTGGAGGTGGCGGCGGGGGACAGATGGCGGAGGAGGACAAAAGACGTCTGATTTTTCCAGGTTCGCCAGGGTGTGGTGGGAGTTGCATAAGGATTAAGAACACCACCTAGTTTTCTCGTAAGTTTTTTCTTCTTCTGAATTTATCGTATTTTTAATTTTTAAACATCTCACTAATTAATCCTATAAGATCAATGTGCATTCATGCATATAATTTAGGTTGTCGTGAAATTTGATTAGTCAAATCTTTACCCTTAATCTCATTAATTAATCACTCATCATTGTGTAATATGCTAAACAAAATATTTTTATTATGCAGAGGAAAAAGAAACGAAACTAACCGTTGAGATTATCATTCCCTTTCAAGAGATAAAGAAGAAAAGTTAAGAAAAGTAAATTGCACAACTCAATATTTCGTGTCTCCATTACTAATTAGGTATCGTAGGAAAGTTTATCAAGAAAAAGGAAAGTCTGGAGATTCAAAGAGCTAGTCATTGCAGACTCGGAAGAAGTATAAAATGTAAACATAATCATAATAGCATGGATCTTAGAATTAGATGATTTCACGAATCGATAATAGATCGGGAAAACCTACCTCGATCCATGACGAGAGCGGCGGCGGCGCTGGAGTAGTAATCACCGGAATTGAGTTTCTCCCTCTTGACCCCTTTAGGTTTTAGGTTTAGAGATTTCTGTGATGGCTAAGAAATTCTACGTAATGGGTTGAGAGAGGACCAATCCTAGGGCTTCTTTATATAGACCCACCATCAGGGCATATTAGGAATTTACCTTTCATTAACCTAATCCATATAGGATTTACCTTATATATTAAATCATTAAGTGATAATTACACTTGGGCCACAATTATTCCCTAGTGACCTACGGGAATTGGGCTTACATTCTCCCACTTGGTCCATGTGTCATTATATATCACAAGATCTAATAATAAACATAAGTGTGCACATCATAAGATTAATCCATAATATTTGGTTCACCATAAAGTCATAATCAAGTATGAAAGCTAGATTAGGATCATGGCGGTTCTGTATCAATTTATCGACATAGTCCCTTCCATGTACCACTAAACCAGTCTCATGCTCAATATGACACATAACAAGGTAGTCATAATGGTCCAACAATAATGTCTTCACTAAAGACAAAATCTTGTTTTGTTAACATAATGCATAATGTATATATACTGGTCATAATAAATAAAACAAGATTCATAACTTTATTCCAGAAACAAAATAAATGAGCTCAAAGTGTCAATCCATGAAACATAAAATAACTTTAGTCATGACGTCCTATAATCCCCATCCTTTCGACATGTTCAGTAAATGTCTTAGGAGACAATCCTTTTGTTAATGGATCAGCAATCATAAGCTGTGTGCTAATATGCTAGATCGACACCCTTTGTTTCTGAACTTCTTCCTTAACGACAAAGTATTTCACCTCCATATGCTTAGCACCCTTTGAATACTTGTCATTCTTAGAGAAGAATACCGCTGCGGAATTATCACAGTAAATTTTCAGCGGCTTGGCGATAGTGTCGACAATTCCAAGTCCAGAAATAAAATTCCGCAGCCATAAACCATAATTTGTAGCTTCATAACAAGCTATGAATTCAGCTTCCATAGTGGATGTGGCAATAACAGACCGCTTCGCACTCTTCCATGAAATTGCCCCTCCGGCTAGAATGAACAAATAACCAAAAGTAGACTTCCTGGTGTCTACACATCCAGCATAATCTGAATCTGAATATCCAATCACCTCAAGGTGATCAGATCTCCTAAAGGTGAGCATGTGGTCTTTTGTTCCTTGCAGATACCTTCGTACCTTCTTTGCAGCTTTCCAATGATCTACTCCTGGATTACTTTGATACCTGCCCAGCATTTCGACAACAAAGCTGATGTCTGGTCTGGTACAAGTTTGTGCATAATTCAAACTTCCAACAATAGATTCATAAGGAATGTGTTCCATTCGCTTGCGTTCCAATTCATTCTTTGGACATTGTTTGATACTGAATTTATCTCCCTTCTGAATTGGAACGACATTTGCAGAGCATTCAGCCATGTTGTATCTCTCTAGGATCCGGTTAATGTATGATTTCTGAGACAATCCCAACAGTCCTTGTGATTTATCACGAAATATTTCTATTCCAATCACATAGGATGCCTCACCCAAATCCTTCATTTCAAAGTTCTTTGAGAGAAACTCCTTGGTTTGATGTAATAAACCAAGATCATTTGTAGCAAGCAAGATATTGTCAACATACAGAACTAAAATTATAAACTTACTCCCACTAATCTTCAGATATATACATCGATCGACGATGTTCTCCTTAAATCCAAAAGATGTAATGGTATCATTGAACTTAATATACCATTGTCGGGAAGCTTGTTTAAGTCCGTATATTGACTTCTTTAATTTACACACCATATGTTCTTTTCCCTCAACCACAAAACCTTCAGGTTGATCCATAGAGATGCT